GTAAAACTAGTGTTTTTGTTTTGGAGCTGTATCTTGTAACAATTAATTTGCATGAAACTGGCAAAGGGTGACAACCGTAGCAAGGGTTTAGAAGGCAGTGTAGCTTCTTTCTCAGACATTCGGCCCTACCGCTGTAGGCCCGAGCAGCTGTGGACACTGAGGAAGCAAGTGTGGTTGTGCTCTAGTACAGTTGTACCTATAGACCCTGGAGTAAACAGTTGTTGTGGGAACAAAGTATTCTTTAGATTTGGAGGCTTGGGGAGTATCATTGTTCTTGCTTATGAGCAAGATGAATTCATTCTTATAGGTCATACATTAATGGGGTAGGCTGTCTGAAGATAGCTGAACCCTAAATTGGTGGCAGTCACTCTCTTAGTCCCCGAACTTTGTAATCGCAGACCCAAGTGTCTATTACTCTCATACTGTGATCAGAATTTAGCTGGTTCTCATATCCAGTGAAGATCCCTCGCCTCTCTTCTCTCTCCACGCAGAAGAATCTCATTGATCATTGGTTAAAGAATGCATAAGACAACGTAGATGGGAGGAGAAAGTTATCAAAGCCATTATGTGTTGATTCAAAACCAGAATAATGGGTTGCTTTCTCTCCTGCACTTCTCTCAACAGTTAACATCTTAAAAACAATCCAGGGTACCTAAAGTAAAGTAATTTTCAGAATCATCTCTTTTTTTGTACAAAAAACAATCCTCATAATATGCACTATGATCCACTGTAGAATACTGACATCAGACTAATTAACATAGTATATCATCTCCTGTGCTGGTGGTCATTTTTGTGACACAAGTACTTACTTGCTCAGTGCTCTTCGAAATACATTTGTTACTGTTTCCACCACCTAGTACAACAGATCTATGGAATGTTTTCCTCCACACTGAAACTGTGATCCCTCAACCATTCTAAACAGTACTCAGTGATGAGAAGGGCCCCACAGTGAGACAGCAAACTATTGATATTTTCACTTACTTAAAAGCAAGTGAAAGATAGGTTATTGCAACTGTAATGGTGGAATCCCTGACTGACTGGAGGTTAGTGACCAAACCTAGCCTAACCCAAATCCCTGGACATGTCCTGTTTAGCAGCCTCTTTTTTGAGTCATAATTGGTTAAGCAATGAGGAAGTCACAAGGGCCTGTCTGCTTAAAGTGTCCTACAGTTTGCCCTTGAAAGTTATGTTGCAAGTCGGAAGGTACTGTGTCACCAGCCTGAGAGCCATACCCTCACCCTGCTCAGTGCCTATGTGCCCCTCCCCTGGATGACAAAGGCCATATGCTCTTCAAGCTGGTCCCTCCCAACCAAGCAGGTTCTGACCTCTGATTTCTTTTACTTTGATGTCGATGGCTGCTGCTGATAACATGGAAAGCAGACTAAAATTATATTATTAGTGATTAATCCTAAAAATTAGGCGCCAGCACAAGGTTCTATGCAGCAGGTATTTATATTGCTATGAAGTTGTGAGCTGGGGGACTAAGGTGCAGCAGAAAGTTAATAGCAATGTCTTGTGTGACGTGAAGTGGAAGACCTTATTGACAACTGTTTTCATCTTTTGAGGTTTGCTGGATTAGATAACACAGAGGCAGTGGCAGTTCAGAATGGCAGGCCTAGATAGCACTTCGTGACTCAGAGCCACTGAAGCTCAGTGTAGAACATGTATGACCTCTCCCTCCATAAACAGAATTAGTTTCTGTCTCAGGCCTCAGACCCTAAGGACTTAGAAGGACAAGAGAGGGGGACCACTATTTGTCATTACTTTGTTTATATATATGATTTCAGTAATGTCAGACAAGAAAGGTTTGAGGTGTTTTTGTTTGTTAGTTTGTTTTTTGAGATTTTTATTGGGGAGAAATAATTTTCTAATCAAAATTATCAGAAAGACTAGTGTGTAGTCAATATGAACCTGTTGTTTGAAGATTAATAAAAGCAGGGTCCACAGACATCATTACACACAGAGACAGGAATTATATTTTCCTTAATGAAATCTAGCCCCTTGCTCACTCACCTTCTTGCTACTCTCTCCCTAAACACCGTCTAAAATACAGCCTCACGGGACCATTTCAAGGACAAAAACATCGAAGTGAGAAAACTTATCACAGGAAGTATGCTTTACCTAAATTTAGATCAAAGTTAGCATGAGGAAAAAAAACAGTGATTCTCTCACCTCCTGCTCTCCTTCCTTGTTCCCTAATGAGGACATCTCCTGCCACCTGCTGTCCAAGTTCTTTAGACTCATTTCAGAGGAATACAATAATTACTGAGTAAGCAAAAACATATATTACGCCAGGATTGCAATTGACTGTCTTGTTATTTTGACTCAAAAAAAAAAAATTAACTGAGTGTGTGTTTAATGTATTACTAGCTTTTTAAGGTCAGGAAGTACTTTGGTGGTGCGTATTATTCTACCTAAAATAGCAGCATATTTTTCCTGGGGAGAGCTTTTAAACAAGATGTCTCTACGACATTTCCTAGCAAACAGGAAACAGAATCTGACAGAAACATTTCCAGTGTGTTTACTGCTGTAAGTCATGTGCTTATTTACACAATGGGGCCTGGCTGGTACTCAGCCAAGCCTACCCTTGACTCCTGTGTTCTTCCCAATGCTCTGCTCACACTGAGGGCCTGGAGATGCTATCCTGGTGCTTGACTCCATTAGAAAGGCAAACCACATTCTAAACTTGGAGTGTGCCCAGGGAATTCCCCTCCAGACACAGTAGAATTCCTTCGAAGTACTGTGCTAAGCAAATGGCATAGTACTGTATTTTTTTATTTAAAGTATTTTCAAAAGGTACTTTGTAATTTATGAAAATTCTTGTGTCATTAAATCATGTGTTCCTTCATTTCCTTCAGGGAACGAGTTGATTTGACACATGAAAAAAAAAATAAAACCAGAAATATGAAAAGTTAAAGAAATCAAGTCTATTTTTCATTTTGTAGAACTTTTATAAAAATCTTTCTGACTCACTTTCTGCCAGAAATAGTTGAAACTAACTACCCAAATTGATGTGGCTAATTTGAGCATTCAAATAGATGCCTAAACCAAACTTGGAAGTTTCTGGAAAGCATTTTAAAGGAAGGCATTGATCTCTTTGTCGTGCAAAGAAAATGTGCCTAACAAAGTGGGTAGGGTCTAAAGTAACTTCTGTGAAATATAAACTGCAAAACTGTAGACATTGTCTCCTACAAACATCATGTTATCACATTTGAGCCCTGCTAGCATTTACAGGAATACTGAAGCAAGTGCTAAAATCAAGCAACCAAGGGCTATGGATACTCCAAAATCTATCTCCTCTAAGAATATTTAAAGTAGGCTTATAGCCAGACATGGTGGTATGCTTCTGTAATCCCAGCACTCCCGTAGCTGAGACAGGAAGACTGTAAATTCAAGGTCAACCTCGTCACAGAAAAAAAAAAAATTAAACTGACAACAAATTAATGTTAAGTGCATATCCCAAAAATTGATGAGGCAAAGCAATGTCTCTAAAAGCTCATGGTGCAACTCTTTTGTTTTGTTTTGTTTTGTTTTGTTTTTGTTTTCCGAGACGGGGGTTTCTCTGTGGCTATGGAGGCTGTCCTAGAACTAGCTCTTGTAGACCAGGCTGGTCTTGAACTCACAGAGATCCACCTGCCTCTGCCTACTGAGTGCTAGTATTAAAGGTGTGCACCACCACCACCTAGCCTCATGGTGCAACTTGAAATGTTAACCTGAATGAATTCAAACAGTATTGAAGACAACACTGAGCTGCATGAGACCCTGTCTCAAACTCCCCCCCCAAATAAATTGATTTTAGTTACTCAGATATATCTTAACGTTTATATATCCTTAGCACATTACACAGAAATAGATTACAAAAGAAGAACAATGGCCAGTTGGTGTGGTGGTGCGTATGCCTTTAATCCCAGCACTCAGGAGGTAGGAGCAGGAAGCCTGGTCTATGTAGAGTTCCAAGACAGCCAGAACTACATAGAGCAGTGGAAAACACAGTTATTCACAATACAATTTATAGCAGCAACAAATTTATAGTCAGGTAATAGAAACAAAAATGATTTTATGCTGGGCACTCAGCATAAAATCCCAGCACTCAGATTGCCGTGGGTTCAAGAACAGCCTGGTCTACAAGTTGCAAGACTAGAACTGTGACATAAAGAAACCCTGTCTTGAAAAATAAGAGGGGGCGAGGGGGAGAGAGAGACTGAGCCCCTTGGTTCTTGTTACTAGAACTCTTTGTAAAAACATTGCAAGTTCAAGGCTAGCCTGGGCTACATAATGACCTGTCTCAAAAAAAAAAAAAAAAAAAAAAAAAAAAAGATGTTCTTATTCTGTTTCAGGTGGTTTACAATTTAGTTTGTGTGGAAGGGGAGAAGACAAAAGGAAAAATAGGAGGTTAGCTCTAGCTGGTATAGCCTGAAACAGGAAAAACATCTTGTCATGGCCCAGATTTGGGGGAAATTCAAGTGCATCTATTAAGGAAACGAACATATATACTTCTAGTTTTGTTCACCTGAGCCTGTTTTTGATAATTCTCATTTGGAGCAATCTGACAAGTGTTTTCAGAGACAGTTTATCACTTATTTATTTCAACCCTCTCCCTCACCCATACACTGGGCTTTCTCAGTACTCAGGAGAAGACATCATTGTCATTGGATAACAGAGATGTCTCGTTGGAGCCTTGTCCTCATCTGTTAAGACAAAACTATATAGCTAGTTATCACAGATGCACAAGGAACACATCTGAAAATCAGTGGAAGTTGTAAGAATTTCTGTTATATTTTAATGATGAAAGGAATTCATCTTGTTGATTGAGTGCCACCCCCTACTGTAGGCATCACTGGCACTAGGAAAAGGACCTGTCAGTCAAAGCAACAAAGTAACCCTGCCAGTCTGAGGGAAAATTTGGGCTGATCAGGACTATGTGCAATGCTGTCCCTTCCTCAGGAGCTATCAGGGTCGTATGACCTGTCTGTCTGTGCATCTCCCACAGAAGGAGCTCATCATTCTGTTGGAAATGGGTGACACAAAAATGGTCTTCTAGCTGTCCCAACAGTACACAAGGAATTCCCTGGAAAACAAGCTGCTAAGTTCATTGCTTAAGCAGCTGTCTCTGAATAGTATCAAATAAATGTCACTTCAGCCCAGAAGCTTCCTAATTTGACATGTGTCTAGTCAAAAGATATCCCAGGGCCAGCAAGACAGCTCAGCTGATAAAGGCATTTGCCATGACACCTGATGACCTGAGTTCCACCCCCTAGGCCCACATGGGAAGAAGAGAATCCACTCCCACAGTTGTCCTCTGACCTTCACACACAAAAATAAGGGTAATTTTTGTTTTACTAGAAAGATAGTGTAGACTACATGAGCACATTCCCACAATCCCAGTGTTCAGGAAGTCAAGGCAGGGAGATCACAAGTTCACGTAAAGCTGAGCCTCGTAAAGGAGAGCTTGTCTCAAAGATGTTCCCTGTAGAAACTGCATGTGCTGTAAGTGGCAAAAAGCCTTAGTAATTCCAACTTGCATGTAGAAGGCAGGATTTGTACGTAAGCCACTCCCCTAGAAGTGCATGTCAGCATCAGATGAACTCAAACTTTTTTTCAGTTTTGAAACAGTCTCACTTTAGCCCAGGTTGACCTATAGCTCACTGTGTAGCCCAGGCTGACTTTAGCCTTAGGTGCTGGGATTCAGGCATGATCACACTGGCTTCAGCCTTTTTCCTTTGTAATTGCAGTAATATGATTTTAAATACTAGCACCCTGATAGGTTCTACTTAAAAGAGCGCCTATAAAATAATTTTAGTGTCTTAGAAGAAAAAAGTAGCCAGTATAAAATAATGGTCATACTTACATTGATCAATATTGGTAATGGAAATTGAATTCAAGAAGGTGATCAGGAGCTCTAAGAACCACTTACCTTCTTAAAGTTGGTAAGTGCTGTGTTTGGGCAGCAGCAGCTTCTGTGTATCTGGTTAGTGAGAAAACCACTGTCATTCAAAACCTAGAATAAAAGCAAATAAAATTGAAATTCAAATTGAAAAGTCAAGACTTTAAAGGTGTGTTACACCACCATCCCCTAGGGGAAATAGCCATTGTTATGTGGACCGTATTTTCACCAGCTTTGTTGTTGTTTCTTAGGGAGGCTTAGCCACCAAACCTAGATCCAAATTGTAAGTCATAGTCCAACTATAAGTAATTGGAGATGTATATACTCATAATTAATGGGGTGGTTTGTATAAAATAAAGGGAATATATAAACTGTCAAGTGAGTAACAAGGTGGGAAATGGCTTTCTTTCAAATTCAGCTGTGCCTGGTTCCTAAGTGAGGGAGTCAGGGCTGAGATTATATTACAGTACTTGGGAGATTCAGCTATGAAAGATGGTTGGTTCATTGTTAGGCTTGACATTCGAAAATACCTGCTTTTGTCATTTTGCTGGGGTGTCTTATGATGGTCAGGTCTATGGCTGCCAATGGTGGGCTTGGGATCCCCACTGGCAGCATGGGCCTGGACGTGTACTTCTGTCTGTTAACTGCAGCCTGGCAGCGAGCTGGACAACTTGGAAGAGATTCTGGATGATTTGCAAAATAGTCAGTTACCACAGCTTTTCCCAGACACAAGGCCAGGAGCCCCTGCTGGGTCAGTTGACAAGCAAGCCATCATCAATGACCTCATGCAACTCACTGCTGTGGACAGCAGTCCTGTTACACCTGTTGGAGCCCAGAAAACAGCACTGCGAATGTCACAGAGCAGTAAGTATGCACTGTTACTAGTTATGCCAGGGAATTTACCGTTTAATTCCTGTCAGAAACAAATTATTGAAGTCTGTCTCGGTTTAGTTCCTTGGAAGTTTTTTGTGGCAAAACAGCACCATCTGCTGTCCTGGTCTGTCAGTGTTCAGAACGGATTGTGGTCCTGCATGCCTAAGGCAGGAGGATGCTGAGTTCAGGGCCAACCTGAGCTACAAAGCTGTTCAAAAAAAAAAAAAAAAAAAAAAAACTAGATTATTTTCAACGTGTTCATGAAATGGCTGCTCGAAGTCAAATGCCTTGCTCTGTTATTTGGGAATCTTATTTTAGATATGCTATTCACTCTGATCACACAGATTACAAACTTGATCATAGCTGAAGTTTTCAGTTTTGTGAGACAGAACTGTTTTTCTATAGCACACCCATGGTTTACAGAAAGATAACCTCTTCCTTGCTGGTAAACACAATGACTGTTTCTACCTCAGGTAGTTTGAGCCAGTGCCTAGTTCTGTTCTCAAGGCTGAAAAGGTAAGCCTCAGTCAAATAGAGAATGGCTACCTTTAAAAACTAAATCCTTTCTTGGATGGTTCCTGATCATTCTGGAAAGGACAAAAGGAAAAGAAGATGACTTTGTTTGACCAGGGCAATCACAAAGCTAAAGAATTGAGAGAATAAATAAGAAACATACAAGGTACTACCATTAACCCAGAACGCTATCAAAGAACATGAGTGGGCTCACAGCTCCGACTCTGTCTAGAGATCCCAATGGGATTAGGTTAGTGGATGGAGGCCAGGTAACTGACCCCAGGAAGGCAGAACTCAGGGTGGCACACAATGTCCATTCCCAGCCTTAGCTTTTCTGGATGTGTTATTTCTACCATAGATTACAAAGTCCCCCTCCTCTTAACTGTGCTATTGCAATCTATGTTAGCAAAATTTAAAGAAAGCAAAACACTCAGTATTACCTAATAAATTAGCTCTGTAAATTATGATACAATACTAGAGTGTTTCAGTAACATTGTTATAAAATTACAGGTCATCTACTTTCACTAGATTACTGCTCAGTACATACACAGTCAATTCTTGTAAACTAACCACAAAGATCATTTCAAATCTAAATATGTACCCAGAGTTTAAAGAAGCCATACTAATAATGATAGCCTTTAATGAACTATTGCTTTGGGTAACACTGTGTCAATCATCCCGCTCCTCTGAGGCCCTCAAGCCAGGCTGTGAAGGCACATTCTTCCCCAGGTCTCACTGATGACACAGCACTAGAGGATCTGTAGAGTTCACCTATATATTTTTTTGCATGTTCCACAAAACCTTTATATGACATGTTCATCATAGACTGTCCTGGTTGCCTAAGGCTGAAGCCTGGAAGGATTTTAACTTCTAGTGAAAATAACCACTTCTAACTTCATTCTAAACCTTGAAAGCCCAGTTATGAAATAATATCCTAATGTTCAAACCATATGTGTGTAGCTTTGTTGCTGCATGTAATAATGAGAAAAAGAAAAAGCCCACTGTGCCAAAGTTTGAATAATATAACATGAGCAATATCATATTAATGCTTTATTTAGCAAAAACTTTCAGTATCAAAACTACGGAAAGAAAAATATGATGTATGTTTTACATTCCCTTTTCATAAGGCCATTAAGAATTAGATCAGAGACCTGTTGATAGTATCATATGGGGTGTTACATATGTTTTCTATATGTGACTTGTCTTTCATGTAGATAGATGGTCCCTGGTGTGCATCTTTGTCATTTTACAGGTGACATTTCCCCTAAACACTACTATTGTTAATATTCTTCTTCATTGTCCTTTATTAACCTTCAATTTTCATTTGTTTTCTCCTTAGCTTTTAATAACCCACGACCAGGGCAACTGGGCAGGTTATTGCCAAACCAGAATTTACCACTTGACATCACATTGCAAAGCCCAACTTTTCCCACCAATCAGAAACAATAGTCCCTACTCAGTGATACCTCAGCCAGGAATGATGGGTAATCAAGGGATGCTAGGAAGCCAAGGAAACTTAGGGAACAATAGCACAGGTAAGGGCTCAATGGCACTGCTGCTTGTTGGTGGGTTGTGTAATTTAATGGTGTGTTCATGCACATCAGAATAGTAGGACTTCTAACATGAGACTGGCTAGAAGCCATCTGTGAAAGTTTGGGAACCGTGGCCTATGGGGAGCCACTCCAGCAAGGTGCCCAGGTCATCCTTCAACTGCCACTTTGATGAGGTTTCTGGACAGTCTTCTTATCTAGATTGACTCCACTTCCATCCTAGCTATTGGCCTAAACATGAAAGGGTGTGTGGGTATGTGTGTGTGAGTTGTATGTATATATACATATGCAAAATAAATGGAAAGGTGTATGTAAAAAACTGGTGCTTGTTAGCATCCAGTGATAATCTGCTGATACCCCAAAACATGTATAGATGTATTTGGAATATTTCAGAAAGGAAGTTTAAAATTCCACCCACC